CGACCTATCAGCGGATCTTGGAGACGCGCGGATCAAGACTTCCCCGTCGCAGCCACCTGAATACAAGAAAATTAGAGCCAGCTCAGAACCGCCAGACATTAAGACCACTACCGGTCCTGGAGCGGTCACCTTCGCAGTTGACAGGCACGAAGTGACCAAGGATAATGTAAGGATTCATAGCGTTTAGCGATCAACAACGGTGCATTCATCATGTGCATGATCGCCATCTTTTCAGCACATACCTGGACTCAGAAGAGCTCGCAGAATACTAGACGATCGCGGCAACGATGGCTCAAGAGGCATCGGACAACCTTCAGCACATGAGTGAGAACGAATTGACATGGACACCAGATCAATCTCATTGGACAATACCAGGACCATTCAAGGAGAGTCGGGACTTCTACTTTGACCCGATCACCGGCGACGCGATATTTGCGCAGAGCGACGACATCTTGACGGAGGAAGATCTTGTCAAACACTGGCCACTAGTGGAAGCAGCGGACCGACTGGAATCACGTTCATTCATCGACAATTGTTGCTTCACGGCGGTTCATCAGAACAACGTGGACAGCTCGAACATCATCAGGTCTACGATAGCAACACAAATATGACATATATCATCAAGTCACGACTTTGCGGTCGACGCTTCCTAGACGCGCAGAAGCAGAACGTCATGAGGCACTCACCAACGGCATCGCGATTGTCCCAAATAATGGTCGCGTCAATGTTTGCTACGGAAAAGGACATGACCATGGAGACCTGGGACATACCTACGGCATTCTTACAGGGCCTGAATTTGGCGCCATTTCCGAGAGTACGAGAAAAGCAACATCAGAATTCCAGATACGGAGGTCATGTTCTCCACCCCGCAGCTGCTCCAACCCATCTATGGCACAGTGGACGCACCATTATTGTGGCAGCTGGCATTATCTTTACATGTTCTTGACGATATGAAAATGGCATGGGCAGTTCACGTGGACAATCTCATAGTTCTAGCAGTAGAAGCACGGCTGATATGGAGTCTCACCTTCTACGGAGAAACGTTTCGGCAAGATCAAGAGACATCAGCTTCCATTCGCACGCATGGGAATGAGCTACGAAGTGATTGGAGAGCGGCACATATTGATCCATCAGCACGTATTCACAGAAGGCCTGAAGAATATCGAGATATCATACAGGCTCAAGGATAACATGACACATGAATGCGATGGTAAACTCACTCATGATCTTCGATCGGTACCCTGCTCATTGTTATGGTTATGTCAGACGCGCGAAGATATATATATATATATATATATATATATATATATATATATATTGTGACGTAGTACGGTTGCAGCAGATTGTACGGAAGAGCAACATCGGACACTTGAAGCAGGCCGGTCTCATCGTGGATCGAGGTAGACGTACCTCCAAAATGGCAGGATTGCATTTCGGACCACATCCCTACCACTGAGGCTTGTACCGGTTGGATACGCAGGACACGGTAACACGAAGACATCTTATCCTCAAAAAGGAGCAGCAGTATTTCTCATGGAAGACCATATGGACCTGGTCAAGGTCGACAAAAAGGACATCGTTCACCCAGATGATAACAATATTATCGGCGGAATGACCCACTCATTGGCACTATCTTCAGGAAAGTCAAAAATGATTTCCCACTCAACATGCAACGCAGAGACCAACGCGGGCTACAAAGTGAACCAGACAGCACAGTTTATAGTACTCAGGCTCAGCGGGGTTATCTAATGCACTGGGACACAGCACAAGGCCAAGGACTTGATGGATATGTTCGACTGACTATTGTATCACGTACGTATTGGCCACTGTACGGATTGCATGGACTTCTGGCAATTAGGTTGTGGAGTTAAGGGCGTCCCGTCAGACAAGCAGAGCTTATTAGCAGCACTGAGTATGGGAGAGGAGCGCCTTAGCGGACGCATCACGAACTTCATCGACCTGCCCACGGAAGTGGTGATCGCGGATGGACTCACGAAGACAGGCAACTTCAAGCTGCTGACGGAACATATCTTAACAAGAATATGGCATGCACATCCTCCAAAAGGCAAGGTCATCACCATGAGGAGAGTCGCGAAGACGAGTGACAGCTATTCAGAGCAGGACCTCCTAGAGCTCAACGAGTGATGATGATATGACAATACATGGATGTTTGGTGTTGCTTAGATTCGAATCAGTTCAGGTAACAGAGAGTTGTATACAACTACGGAGGCAGCCTATGGAGTCATAACACCGACTTCACGGATAAGCCGACGTATCAATCATCACGTGGAGACCTTAATCACGTGGGGATCGTTAACTTTCAGGACCTCGTCCACGAGGCTTGATTGCTTGCTATTGTACTGTTGCTGCCTGTTTGCTAGTCTCTTGGATATGATGTTTGAGAGTCTACAGCGAGTGCAGTTATTAATCCATAGCACTATAGTTGTTTTGAATGCACCCTTCGAATACAATTAACTCGTATCCGGGACACTAGAACCGGAACGAAGTCTTAGGACTGATTTGGGTAGAGAAGTATATGTTCTTATCATTGTATAGTTTGCATAGCTTTGCTTAGCAGTAGAGCAGTCAGAGACATCTGTGAAGAGCCTCTCGTATTAACATCGAGGCTCAAGCTCTTTGAAAACAGAGCGATCCCCGCTTCCTCCCCCTCCCCCTCCCCCTCCCGCGCCCCCTCCCCGTCCTCCCTCTCCTCCTCCTCCTCCTCCTCCTCCTCCTCCTCCTCCTCTGCTCCTCCTCCTCCTCCTCCTCCTCCTACTCATCCTCCTCCTCCTACTCCTCGTTCTCCTCCCCGACCATTTCTCCCCGACCATTCCTCCCCCCACACACCAATCCAGACAGGCAGCAGGCTGATACGTTCGGACCGGCGCGTGCGATAGGACCAGCAGTGGTAGCAGGGGCTTGCAGTGCGACCCGGCAGGCAGTGGCAGCGGTGGTTGGCAGTGTGGAGAGGCAGCAGGCGTTCTTAGCTACCATGCTGGAATCGGCGCGGGCGACGCGGCAGACAGTGGCAGAGGAGAACGACATTGCGAGAAGGTTGAAGGCGGTGACGCACAGTGGGAACAGCGCGTGCGAGAACAACGCCGGGATCAGCGCGTGCGACAACACAGTCAGAGGCGGCAGTGGATGGCAAAGCGAGGAGACAGGCAGTGACAACGATCCTTGGCAGTGCGGGCACGCAGCAAACATCATCAGCCACCACGCTGGGATCGGCGCGTGCGACACGACAGTGAGGGCACGCAGTGGTAGCAACCGCTGCCAGTGCGACTAGGCCACAGGCACCCTCAGCTACTACACCCTGCGAAATGCTTATGAAATCATGGGTTAAGAAATTCAGAGTCTCAGAATTTGAATAAAACCCAAAATTTCGATCGAAATGTTAGGATTCACATTGAAACAATAAGAATAGTCGAGACTCTGGCCGAAACCTTACGTTTTCTTAAGCATCGCCTAGGGTGTACTCTGAAATCGGCCCGTGCGGCACGACAGGCGGCGCGCTCCCAGCTGCAACGCAGACGCACGGAGCAAGGGCCTCACCTCACGGCTGGGGTGGCCACCGGCGCAGCCACCGCCGACCGTCTTGTTCAGCTACATGACCAGCCTCGGGCACACGCGGAGGCAGAGGAGCAGGGTGCGAGACAGCCTGCGGATGCGGCTGGAGCCTGGCGTCGCAGGCCACCGCTCGAGCAATTCGCCTCTCCAGGGCCCCGAGCGCGCTTGGCCGCTGGTGCGACACAGCATCATCCGGCATGATTCCGCCCCACGCCTTCTAAATTCGCCTCGGCCTCATCCTCCACAACTTACCACGGGACTTGGGACGGGAGGATGCCCTGCAGCACCATCATTAAAACATATTGGGAATGCACTCGTCATTGTCGTCCTCCCCCTCCTCCTCCTCCTCCTCCTCCTCCTCCTCGTTCTCCCCCTCCCCTTCTTCCTCCTCCTCCCCTCCTCCCCCGCCCTTTTCCGTCCCTCGCCTCCTCATCCCTCCTCCACCTCCTCTCCCTCCCCCCCTTATTGTCTTCCCCAACTCCCCTGACTCTTCCTCCTCCTCCTCCTCCTTTTCTTTTTCTTCTTCTTCTTCTTCCTCCTTCTCCTAATCTTCCTCCTCCTCATCCTCCTCGTCCTCCTCCTCCTGCTCCTGCTCATCCTCCCCCTCCGCCCTCCTCCTCCTCCTCCTCCTCCTCCTTCTCCTCATCCTCATCTCATCCTCATCCTCATCCTCATCCTCATCCTCATCCTCATCCTCATCCTCATCCTCATCCTCATCATCATCATCATCATCATCATCATCATCATCATCATCATCACCATCACCATCACCCTCATCATCAGCATCATCAACATCATCAGCATCATCAACAGCATCATCGCCATCAACATCACCATCAACATCAGCATCAGCATCCGCATCAGCATCAGCATCATAATCGGCATCATCATCATCATCATCATCATCATCATCATCATCATCATCATCATCATCATCATCATCATCATCATCATCATCATCGGCATCATCATGAGCATCATCATCATCAGCGTCATCATCATCATCATCATCATCATCATCACCATCATCATCATTTTAATCAGCATCAGTATCATCAGCAGCATCCGCATCATACTCATCACCATCATCATCATCATCATCATCATCATCATCATCATCATCATCATCGTCATCACCATCACCATTATCACCATCATCATCATCATCATCAGCATCATCAGCATCATCATCATCATCATCATTATCATCATCATCGTCATCAGGATCATCATCGTCATCATCGTCATCATCGTCATCATAGTCATCATAGTCATCAGCATCATCATCCTCATCCTCATCCTCATCATCCTCATCATCCTCATCATCCGCATCAGCATCAACATCCCTCTCCCTCCCTCCTCCTCCCCCCTTTTCGGCGGCGAGGGGGGGCCAACGTACCCCGCCCTCCGCCCAGCCCCCCCCCCCCCGCCGTTGTCGTGCGCGCTGGCCACGAGATAGTCACCACGGCCCCACTTCACCTCAGAACGCCGGGTGCGCGCGCGCCTCAACCTCATCTTCCTCCTCCTTCTACTCCTGCTCCTGCTCCTCCTCGTCCTCCCGCTCCTCCTCCTCCTCCTCCTCCTCCTCCTCCTCCTCTTTCTCCTCCTCCTCCTCCTCCTCCTCCTCCTGGTCCTCCCCCTGTTCATTTCCCTCCTCCTCCTCCTCCTCATCCTCCTCCTCCTCCTCCTCCTCATCCATATATTCCTCCCCTGGTCCCCTTCATCCACCCTTTTCCGTCTTCTTCTTCCTCCTCCTCCTCCTCTTCCCCTCCTCCTCCTCCGCCCTGCTCCTGCTGGTCCTTCTCCTCCTCCTCACTCTCCTCCTCCTCCTCCTCCTCCTCCTCCTCCTCCTCCTCAGCCTCAGCCTCAGCCTCAGCCTCAGCCTCAGCCTCAGCCCCTCAGCCTCAGCCTCAGCCTCGTCCTCCTCCTCCCCCTCCTCCTCCTCCTCCTCCTCCTCCTCCTCCTCATCATCATCAGCATCATCATCATCATGATCATCATCATCATCATCAGCATCATCAGCATCATCATCATCAGCAGCATCGTCATCATCATCAGCATCATCATCAGCATCATCAGCATCACTAGCATCAGCATCATCATCATCATCATCATCATCATCATCATCATCATCACCACGATCATCATCAACATCATCATCAGCATCATCATCATCAGCCGCATCAACATCATCATCATCAGCATCATCGTCACCATCAGCATCATCATCAGCATCAGCATCATCATCATCATCAGCAGCATCATCATCATCACCACCAGCATCACCATCATCATCAGTACCATCATCACCATCATCATCAGCATCATCATCAGCATCAGCATCGGCATCGGCATCAGCATCAGCATCAACAGTATCGTCATCATCAGCATCATCAGCATCATCAGCATCATCAGCATCATCAACATCATCATCACCATCATCACCAGCATCACCATCATCATCATCAGCATCATCAGCATCATCATCATCAGCTGCATCAGCATAAGCATCAGCATCATCATCAGCATCAGCATAATCAGTATCAGTATCATCATCATCATCATCATCATCATCATCATCATCATCATCATCAGCATCATCATCATCATCATCATCATCATCATCTCATCATCATCAGTATCATCACCATCATCATCATCATCATCATCACCATCACCATCATCATCATTATCAGCATCCCCTTCCTCCTCCTCCTCCTCCTGCTGCTGATCTTCCTCCAGTTCCTGGTCCTGCTCCTGCTCCTCCTCATTCTCCTCCTCCACCTCCTCCTCCTCCGCGTCATCCCCGTCCTCCTCCTTCTCCTCCTCCGCCTCCTCCTCCTCCTCCTCCGCCTCGTCCTCGGCCTCCTCCTCCTCCACCTCCTCCTCCTCCTCCTACTCCTCCCCCCCTCCTTGCCATCCTCCTCCTCCTCCTCCTCCTCCTCCTACTCTTCCTCAGTCTCCCCCTAATCATCGTCGTGATCAGCATCATCAGCATCAGCATCATCAGCATCATCAGCATCAGCATCATCATCATCATCATCATCATCATCATCAGCATCATCATCATCATCATCATCATCATCATCATCAGCATCAGCATCATCATCATCATCACCATCACCATCATCATCAGCATCAGCATCATCATCATCATCATCGCCAGCAGCATCATCAGCATCATCATCACCATTAGCATCATCTTCATCACCATCACCATCATCATCATCACCACCATCAGTATCATCATCATGAGTATCATCATCATCAACATCATCATCGACATCATCAGCATCAGCATCAGCAGCATCATCAGCAGCAGCATCAGCATCATCAGCATCATCATCAACATCGTCAGCATCAGCATCCTCATCATCAGCATCATCAACACCAACATCATCATCAGCATCATCATCACCATCAGAATCATCATCGTCAGCATCATCATCAGCATCAGCAGCAACATCAGCATCAGCCTCATCATCATCACCATCATCATCGGTATCATCACCATGACCATCATCACCATCATCATCATCATCATCATCATCATCATCACCATCAGCATCATCATCAGCAGCATCCTCATCATCATCGTCACCATCAGCAGCATCATCAGCATTAGTATCATCAGGATCATCATCGGCATCCTCGTCATCATCGCCATCTGCATCATCTGCATCCTCATCATCATCATCATCATCAGCATCATCATCAACATCATCATCATCATCATCAGCATCAGCATCCCCATTCCTCCTCCTCCTTCTCCTCTTCATCCTCTTCTTCCTCGTCCGTTTCCCCCTCCTGCTCCTGTTCCTGCTCCTGTTCCTGCTCATTCTCTCGGTTTCCTTGTTCTCCTCCTGCTCCTGCTCCTGTTCATGCTGCCCCTCTCCTTCTCCTCCTCCCCCTCCTCCTCCTCCTCCTCCTCGTCCTGCTCCTCCTCCGCCTCCTCCTCCTCTTCCTATACCTCCCTTCCTCCTCCTCCTCCTCCTCCTCATCCTCCTCCTCCTCCTCCCCACCTCCTCATCCTCCTGCTCTTCCTCCTCCTCCTCCTCCACCTCCTCATCCTCCTGCTCTTCCTCCTCCTCCTCCTCCACCTCCTCCTCTCCCTCCTACCCCTCCTCCTCCTCCCCCTCCTCCCCCTCCTCCTCCTCCTCCTCCTCCTCCTCCTTCTCATCCTTCCGTTTCCTCCTTCTCCTTCTCCTCCTCCTCATCATCCAACCTCGCAACCCTCCAACCTCCTCCAACCTGCTCGTCGTCGTCCTCCTCCTCCTCCTCCTCCTCCTCCTCCTCCCCCTCCTCATCCTCATCCTCATCCTCATCCTCATCCTCATCTCATCCTCTCATCATCATCATCAGTCATCATCATCATCATCATCATCATCATCATCATCATCATACATCATCATCATCATCATCACCACGATCACCACATCATCATCATCATCATCATCATCATCATCATCATCATCATCATCATCATCATCATCATCATCATCATCATCATCATCATAATCAGCATCATCATCAGCACCAACATCATCATCATCACCACTATCATTATCATCATCATGAGTATCATCATCATCATCAACATCATCATCGACATCGTCATAATCAATATCATGCTCTTCTTCCTCCTCCTCCTCCTCATCATCATCAGCATCCTCACCATCACCATCACCATCACCATCAGCATCATCATCACCATCACCATCACCATCAGCATCAGCATCAGCATCACCATCAGTATCATCATCATCATCAGCAGCATCATCAGCATCATCATCATCATCATCATCATCATCATCATCATCATCATCATCATCATCATCATGTTTCTCCTCCTTTTCCGCCTCCTCCATAGTATCATCCGGCCTGTTCCTCGGCTTCTCGTCCTCCTCCTCCTCCTCGTCCTCCTCCTTTTGCTCCTGCTCCTCCATATTAGCATCCCTCGTTTCCCTCCGCTCCTATTCCTCCTCCTCCTTCTCCTCCTCAGCCTCCTCCTTCTGTTCCCCCTCCTGCATCTCCTCCTCATCATCCTCTCCCTCCCCCTCCTCCTGCTCCTCCATACCCTCATCCCTCGTGTTCCTCCCCCCTCTGCCTCCTCCTCCTCCTCCTCCTCCTCCTGGTCCTCCTCCTCCTCCTCCTCCTCCTCCTCCTCATCATCATCCTCATCCTCCTCCTCCTCCTCTCCTCATTCAGCATCAGCATCAGCATCAGCATCAGCATCAGCATCAGCATCAGCATCAGCATCAGCATCAGCATCATCATCATCATCATCATCATCATCATCATCATCATCATCATCAGCATCATCATCATGATCAGCAGCAGCAGCATCATCATCATCATCATCATCACCATCACCACCATCACCATCATCATCATCATCATCATCATCATCATCATCATCATCATCAGCATCATCATCATCACCATCACCCTCACCCTCACCATCACCCTCACCATCACCATCACCATCACCATCACCATCACCATCACCATCACCATCACCATCATCATCATCATCATCATCATCATCATCATCATCATCAGCCTGCCCCGCTGGTGCTGTCCATCCTTCCTTGTCCTCCTCATCGTTATCCTTTTCCTCATCCTCCTCTTGCTCCTGCCCCTCCTGCTCCTGCTCCACCGCCTCCTCCGCCTCCTCCTCCTCATCCTCCTTCCTTCTCCTTCTCCTCCTCCTCCTCCTCCTCCTCTTCTCTCCTCTCCTCTTCCTCCTCATCCTCCTCCTCGCTCCTCGTCCTCGTCCTCCTCGTCCTCGTCTCTCGTCTCGTCCTCCTCCTCCTCCTCCTCCTCCTCCTCCTCCTCTCCTCCTCCTCCTCCTCCTCCTCCTCCTCCTCCTCCTCCTCCTCCTCTGAAGTCACTCACCCCGTGGCGCGCGCCGCGATGCCCAGCACCTCCACAACGCGGCCGCGCCGCCGCGTCGCGCGACGCCGCGCCCGCCGAACCGCAACAGGATGGGCACCTAGGGAGGAGGCTCCAAGGCCCTGGAAGCAGGGAAAGCGGGGACCCAAAGCCCAAGACACCCACTGGCACGCCCAAGAGGGGCCGAGGCAGGGCCCACCGCCAGAGGAGGGGAGGGACGCCTCCGAGGGCGCGAGGGGAAAGAGGCGGGGGGCCTAGGGGCCCGCGAGGGAGGGGAAGGGGCCTCAGGGGCCAAGGAGAAAGAAGGTGGCGCAAGGCCTGGTTCTGCGCTCCATGCCGCTCCCACGCCGCGCCACCGCCCAGATAGCCAGCTGCCGCCTGCTGCAGGCCGATCTGAAGGTTGGGCACGGTGCAGGTTGGGTTGCCGTCGTCCGCTGTGGGACGCACGACCACCGACCCTCAGCCCCCCGAGGGCGAGGCCAAGGAAAAGCTCCAGGGGCTCGTGCGGCCAGAAATGGGGGGGGCAGAAGGGTGCTGAGGGTTCCGGTCGGGAGCCGTCTGGGCCGCGGCCCTGGCCCAATGGG